TTTACAATAGCCAAGAAATGGAAACAACCCAAGTGTCCATCAGTAGATGAATGGATAAAGAAGATGTGGTACATATACACAATGGAATATTATTCAGCCATAAGAAGAAAAAAAATCCTACCATTTGCAACAACATGGATGGAGCTAGAGGATATTATGCTCAGTGAAATAAGCCAGGCAGAGAAAGACAAGTACCAAATTATTTCACTTACATGTGGAGAATAAGAACAAAGAAAAAACTGAAGGAACAAAACAACAGCAGAAACATAGAACCCAAGAATGGACTAACAGTTACCAAAGGGAAAGGGACTGGGGAGGATGGGTGGGAAGGGAGGGATAAGGGGGGGGGAGAAAGGGGTCCTTATGAATAGCATGTATAATGTGTGTGGGGGCACAGGGAGGGCTGTGCAACACAGAGAAGACAAGTAGTGCTTCTATAGCCTCTTACTACGCTGATGGACAGTGACTGTAATTGAGTTTCTGGGGGTGACTTGGTTAAGGGGGGAGCCTAGTAAACATAATGTTCTTCATGTAATGGTAGAAAAATTATACCAAAAAAAAAGTTTTAAAGTTTTATTTTCCACTTTAAAAAAAAAAAAGACAGAAAGAGAGTCTTAAATATGCTAATTTTTCTGAGCATATCTGAACTAACCCCACCCCCTCGGAATTCAGGCTTCCATGTGTTAGCAATCTGAAACAAATGATATGCGAACATTTCATAGTGTCAGGCTTTTAATAAGTGCTCAATCAATGACCTTCTCCATGAATTGCTGCAGGAAGACCATAAAGCCAAACCTTGGAGGAAAGGGTAAAGCCAAAACATTTTGTAGGACTCTGCATTTTTCATTTATTCATTAAGTGTGCATTAAGAGCCTCCTACTGGTAGGTATTAACACACTGATGATACAGCCCACACCAGCCGTCTACATCCCCTCCCCTCCAAACGTATACATTCTAGAAGGTTAAAAGGCAAGAAACAGATAAAAACATTCTATATCTTGCGAAAGAGACAAGGGTTGAGAAGAGAAAGTAAAGACGCAATAATGCTAGAAGCTTCCAAGCCAACACCGCTCGACCGGGACCCAGCCTGGTCTGTCTGCCTGGAGTGTCAGAAAGCGCAAGGGCTCCCCACAGCTCGAGTTGGCCGTTTGGATTAATTCTGTGTGCGTGGGGAAGCCTGTAATGCTTGTCAGGCAGTGGGCAGTAGAGATTTATGACAGAAACTGAGTTCTCTTTTAGAACGATCACTCTAAATGCTGTGCAGAAAAACAGATCCAATCAAAGCAAGGATGAAAGCTGCAGGTCACTGGGGATGTCTTGCCCAGAGGCTTGGTGAGAGATTCTAGAAACCTGGACTCCAGCAGCAGCAGTAGAGACGCAGAGAACTTGAGATATATTCCAGAGGCGGCAAGAACAGGACTTACTATAGGTGGGTGAGGGGCAAAGGAGGAAGGGGGTCCCAGAGAACTGGAGGGTTCTGGTTTGTGTAGGTGGGTGCAGAGTGATGTGATTCAGGAGATGGGGGTGCGGACTCATGCAACGGACCATTTAGAGCCCTTTCCTTTTTGCATTTACAGATTTCCCAGAACCAGTGAAAACAGACTTTCCTAACCTGGGGATGTGGATGGATGCCAGGGCTTTTAGTAACCTCCTGAAACTGTGCAAAATGGTGTGTCCACATGCGTTGTTCTCCTGTGGTCTTTACCTTGCAAAGCATTCCTGGTGCCCTGACCTCGACTAAGGTAAGAATCACTGATTTAAACAAGCAGAATTATTTGAAAGTAGTCATGGAAGAGAAGGATTAAAAAGAGGTTCACACTTGTATTCATTTTAGTTTAGAACCTACGAGACCCACTCTGGAAGAGTGAAGAAAAAGGTTGACTCTGTATCTGAGCAATGTGTGCCTAGGATGAACCCTCCACAAAAGACAAACTGAAACTGAAGTTTGATGTTTTTTTTTTAATGGCATAACATTAAAGTCATCTTAATCTGATGCAGCCATGAACGATTTAAGATGTGTCTCTTCCCACAAAAGGCAGCTGGCCACATAAAGATGACTGTGCGATCCATTCAAAATTAAAGAATAGACTAAATCATTTGCAACAGTAAAAATGCAGAAAATCCTACCAGAAAAACACAAGAGCAAAAAACTCTTGAGTAGCAAGTAATTTCCAATTGTTTCCAAAACAGGAAGCAAAAGTCATTTTAATGTCATTCTGGTAGTTTCCAGATTAGGATGCGTTAATCAGGCAGCCTCTAAAAACAGAGGCAATTCATTAAAAATAAATAAATTAAAAAAAAAAACGACTTCAGCAAGAAGTGTCAAGAAAGCAGGCTTTTTCAAGGTAGTGATTTGTATGCAAATAGAGCTCAGCATTTATCCCTAAACCTCCAAAGCCTGTAAAAGGAAAAGTTTTGTTCTCTCCATCTTCTTACACTCTTCTGATAAAGTCAACTGCCATTGAACAGAAAAGCCTCTGATATTTCTGAAACAATAATGGGAGAAATGCATGCACAAATACAGGGTTTCAAACCAATAACCCCTTCTAAGCCACTCTTTCCTCCTCAAATCTCTTAGCTTGGTGTTTTGTTAGTGTTGGGTTAATATTTAGACCGACTTTACTGTTTAATATAGTAGCGTATTTCATACCATAAAATAAAAGCTGAACAAATGGTTGCCTAAAAAAAGAAAAAGTCAATAGAAGCAAATTCCTTAAGGGCCTGCCTCTGTCCAGCACACCTTTTTTGCAACCATAATGTGCATATGTGATTTAAATACTGCTGGCCACTAACCCCAGAGATAGCATTTAGAACCTAGAACTTGAGTCATTCCATATTTAAAACTTCACCCCCAGTTTTCCATATTCAACTCACGTACCCACCTCTGTCCCCTCACGTTAGCTTTGTCTGTATTTTCCTTCCCCATCAGAACAGCATCACTGGAGGTAGGGTCTTGGAGGGAGGGTCTACAGATTAGGTATCTAATTACAATTCCTTCTTCCTCTCCAGTTTTAACTACATGAATTCTTAAAAACATTATTGTCAAGAATAACAAAAAACTCAAAACATAAAACTCTGGGAAAATCTTTACAAAATCTAAGGGTGTATAGGATTTGCAACTTTTCCTCTGCCTATCATTTTTCAAATTCTGTTTAGAAAGCACAGCACGTGCTACAGTTTGCCTAATGTTTAAATTATGAGGTGCACTAACCTAAAAGGATCTATGAAAACACCAACTTGAACACAAGATTTCTACGTATTTGAATTTCATTTTGTGTCTAACTGAAAAAAAATATACTTCAGTGTGCCTAAGGAAAGCAAAAATTGTGGAAAGAGATGCTCTGGTAATTTCATAACAGTTTTACATTTTTATATTATCATCCCTCCTTCAGGATCCTAAAGTTCACTCCCATTTTCTTTGTACAAAACATGTCATATAATAAAAACACATCTTTGCTATCCAACAGGCTTGTGGCACGTGGATCGGATATTGGCCCCAATCTCTCTCATTATCAGCATCACTAACACCACCACCATCCTTGGCATCGTTGCTCAAAAGAAAGGAGGAATTGCTTGAATCTCCACAAATGTTGCTAAAAAAGGTGTATCCGATTTCTCATTGATGACTAAATGTTCCTCCAGGTAGACTGCAACCTCAAATACTAGGGTACAGAGAGATCGCATGGTCATTAATGTTTCTATGTGGAAAAAAACACCAGCCTCTCCCTGAAAAGATACTCTTAAGTCAGAATCTCTATGGGTAAGTCAGCTTACCCTATGAAATGGGGAAAAAAATCAAATTGAGAGCAACTAGTATTATGGATTTTCACTGTTTCTGATATCCTTATATTCATAATAGTTTACCTGATACACATCAGTGCCTACAGCGCAGTGTTGTGCAATGGAACTTTGACAACAATGGGAATGTTCTGTATTGTAGGCTATCCAATATAGTAGCAACAAGTGCCGTGTGGCTACTAAGCACTTGAAATGTGACATGTGTGACTGAAGTACTGAATTTTAATGATATTTAATTTTGAAATTAATAATTAAATGTAAACTTTTAAAAATGTAAATGGCCACCTATAGCTAGTAGCTATGGCATTGGACAGCACAGACACAGAGGCCATGAGAGGTGCAACAGAGTGGTGAGGACTGGGGCAAATGGGAATACACATGCCCCGAGGTAGGTAGACACTACTTAGCTGTTTGTTCCAAGAAAAACTGGAAATTTGGATGCTATGTGTAATTCTCTCGTATTTAATTTTGGGGAACTACAGTTAGTCCTCATTTCACTTGGTTCGAATGCACACAAATTTTACTGACTGCTGCTTAGGTAAATGACACTAGTTCCCCAACAACCTAGTTCAAATTTCAGTGACCATGGCTTATTTACCTCCGAGTCATTGCACCAAGTACAAATTCACTACTAGCCTTCAGTCCACAAACCACTATGTAAATACTGGAAGGAAGCACATGGTGATCAGTGACCAACCACGTCATGGCTTTCAGGGTCTGTCCATGATCAGTCGCTGTGCATCCGTCATTCAGTCACACACAGCCAGCAAAGCATGAAGGTGTGCTGCTTCCTGGTCTTCCACCGATTAAACCCGGTGATATTTTACAAACATGGACAATCAGAAGAGGGAACTGGCCAACAAATATGAAAGTGCAACAAAGAAACCAAAAGTGATAATGCTGGTACTGAAATGTGAATCAAACATACACGAAGTTATAGAAGAAACAGCTGACTGTGG